AAAATATAGAAAAAAAGTATTAGTTCAATTAGTTTTTTCTAATTAATAACATTAGTTTGCAATAAATTTTTTATAAACAATTAATTAATAGTACTCAAATGGTTTTAAGACTGTTATTGTGACTATATTGTATTTAGGATTTTTTGCACAATACAATATAATTATAAAATACAATTTAAATTTGTGAATTTATATAAATAAATATCGTAAAATAATGAGTTTTTTATTGTTGGTAATTATTGGTAATACATTTCAATTTCTACATGAATTCAATACTACTATTAAAAATTGTATTCTTTCAGTGTCGCAACTTTGTTTTTATAGTTACTACGTTACTGTTCCACGAAAAATTGAACTTAGCTTAGCATTTTAAGCATCTTCAAATATCTTCTACAATGTGCTAGACTCTACATAGTAAGAACATGTATGTAGTAGATATTTTGGCGCACAAATAATTTTATAGCTTCGCATACTCGTATTTTTCGATTCATGTAAAATTAAAGGGAATTTTCTATATTTAATGAATGTAAATAGTTATTAAATAATTATGTTTTGTGAAATTATTTTATTATTGTATCAATAACAATACAAACTTATTGAAAACGGTATCTGAACTTGTATGCATACTTTGCAAACTCGCCGCGAGTGTGAAGCGTTAGCGGTTGTGTGTGGTGTAGTACCTTACATATTTCTACTTGTATCAATTTTCAAAAACAAACGACGTTTTGTTCGTTACATTCTGGATCTTCAAGATAATAACGGAAAGAAAGGCGGGAAGAAGAGAGAGAGCGAAAGAAGGAAAAGTTAAAAAATGAAGAAAGAGTTAGTGGTGCTGCGTGTTAATATGTGTTGTGGATAAATGCATCCTAAAGTGATTACAGTTTATTTTCATCAGCAGTTTATAAGAGATAATATTCCGAGACGTTGCATGTTTACAAATTCGACTTGAAAGGACTTAGTGAACGATTTCATCCGTGTATATAAACTATCAGCAAAAGTATAGCGAACATTGCAAGAATTTTGTGATTCTTCCAAAAAGTCCTTATTGGAAGATCTGTGAAGCGATGAGTGAAATTTCGTTATTTTAATGTTTCGTGAAATTTGATATTTTACAATGGCTTCTAATATTCCATCTTTCCCGCGTATGCTAAAAATGCTGCGGGAAAATAGTAGTATTAAGGATAAACGCGAAGCTTTAACCTATATTCGTAGGTAAGTTTAAAAACTTCAAATTTTAAGGGTTAGTATAGATAGTGTGTATTTATAAAGAACACAAAATTTCTTATTTTAAATAATACATCTTATTACATATAACAATGTTGATTTGCCTTTATGATGTAAATAATGTTTCTTGAAATAAATTCTTTATTTCAAAAGGACAATACTTTTTTTTATAAAAATAAGGTCAGTGATCATTAAAGAGAGTAGTCAATGCACTGGAGATTGAAAGTAACTGAAATATTAATCTTTTTATGTTTAAAATTAATTTAGAAAGTAGTTTTGTACACGAGAATCTGACATATACTTCAGTTGCAGATTAACTGTTTGTATTTTCATTACGATAAAAGTATTTTACATTAAATTTTTACATAACTGATATTTTGATTATAATTATAATAATCATGAGTAAATCTCTGTCCAAACATTGTTCTAAATTATTCTTTTTTACTGATATATATATTTAATATTTTCCAATGATATTCCATTTTAGCAGCAGCAAGAAGTTGGAACAGATAAAAGCCATTAAAGAAGAACAATACAAAGAACTGTATAAATTAGTCATTGATGTATTTACTAATGGAAACAGTGACATACAAAATGAAGCATATGAAACATTAAACGTTATCATTCAAGACTTTAAAGATCATTCTTTGAATTTGTTTGAAACTATGTCACAAATAAGTCAAAAAAATAGGTTTGTAAAATAAAATAAAGTATTTATGTTAAATTGATTTAGCTATTCAATCGTAATTGCTATAAGAAATTATTTTTAAATAGAAAACTGGGTTTTGAGATACGAATTTCAGATTAGATTGAATTAAGTTCATAAGTTAAGGTATCATTGTATTATATCAGGATATTGCCATATTTATATTTGTAATATTAATACAATTTCAGATTAAAAATTCTTAAGTTATTAGAAATAGTCGAGGACAATGCTATATCGATGGTTATTTATGATACGCATATTGTGAATTTTCTTAACAATTGTATGTGTATGGTACAAACAAGTACAATGCCATGGATAGCACCAAACGCATGTATAGATAATATTCAAGCATTGACAGAAGCAGAAAGCAAACCATTATCGGATGACCAAAGATTAGAAGAAGAAACAATTAATTATTGTATGATTTTGTTACGAAGGTTATACAAAGTGGCTGCGATAACATCAGATACACAAGTTCAGAGGGTATACAATTAATAGTTTAAATTAAAATAACAAACACTAAATATAATCAATTTACTTTAGAAACTGGAAACCAAAAAATATAAAAATATTTTTTACTTTTTCAGTTCAATGCATTATTATTAGACAAAATAATGTTATTAGCTTATATGGGTCATAAGCGACAACGAGGCCCTGCTTTAAAACTTTTAGAACAAGCTCTTACTACAGATATAACATCACACGTTCGTTCTAAATTATCAGAAGCATGGTCTCAATATAAATTGGCATTGCAATCTACATACTGCAAACGTATGTTACTTTTGGTATCCGCATGTGAATTAGATTGGGCAACGCAATGGAATATAAGTATTCAATTTCTTGGAATGGATCTTCATCGTGGTGCTGGTTTAATAAATAATTTACTAAGTGTAGAAGAGAAGGCATTTAAATCTACAGACACAGTTATACGCAGGTATATATAATAATTGTGCTAGGAAGGAAGTATTTATTGATAGAAATCTATATAGTGTGGTACTGTTTATTTTAGACAAGCATTTCTCTCATGGAAGTTACTGGTGGATAACTTTGCTTTAGATCCACAAGAACTTGCTACTGCCAGACGAATAAAGTTGTTGTGTATTCCATTAAATGCTAAAAATAGTAAAAGTGAATTAATAGCATTGACGAAATTAGAAGTCTGGTGGCATGTAATTATCAAACTTTACAAGGACATTCACAAGTTTGTTAACCCAGTGGTTACACAATTCTTAAATTTCTGTTTTGGACCTCTCGGAGATACACCGTTATTGTCATCGAAATTTGAAATAGTAGCTTCACCAGGAAAAAGATTTTATAAGACGAAAATTATTGCTGTAGATGCTCTATGTCAACTTCTTGTCAACAACCAAGAAAATACTCCAGTTTTTTCACCCATTTTGGAAGAAAGACTTCCGCACTCTATAACGAGTTCTATTTTTCAAGATAGTTATAAGAGTGTTATTCATAGCGTAGGAGAAGCTTGGCTTGTTCTTAGTCAACTTACAGATTCAGAAATGAAAAATAGATACCAACTTAGTAAAATATTGTGGGCAAGTTTAGTTAATTATATACAGGAATCAAAAACGGAAATGAAGGTTTGTTGATGTTCATCGATATTAGTATTTAATATTGTATCGTCCGATAAAGAAATTTAATTAAATTAATTTTTTTAAATTCTTATTTAGTTATGTTATCTTGCAGGATTTAATATATAGAGATTTGATCCTAGTTATCACAGAATTAACGAATTGTGCTACAGATAAGCCAATGATAAAAAATTTAATTCTTGATACAATTCTATTCAATGTTGCTGACCTTAATAAGAATTTCATTTTTGAAGATGATGTATTATTAGGATTGATATTAAAGCTTATACAAATTCCACTATTGAATGATGCTAAGAAGTAAGTATGTTAACTATAAACGTAATCTACATTAAAAACATTTGTAGTTACAGTGATAATATACTCAATTTATACTGTATCAAATTAACAGAATACCACCTTCGTTTTTCTATTATGTTTACCAAGCATTGTTTGATCGACTTAGCAAATATTATAAACTCTAGTAGATGTTAAAAATTGCAATGTGTATCGTAAATATTAAATAAAGAAAGAAACTACTATAATAAAAACTATAATAACATAAAATTATTCTTTTAAGGAGTCACTATGACATACTGAAATGTTTGTTCTGGCAATGCATTAAATCTGAAACAAGGAATGAATATTATTCCCACGCATTCAAATGCTTGAAAGAAATATATGAAAAATTATCCACATTGATAAGTGTTGAAGAGAAAAATGAGTGAGTTATCAAAAGTACAAAATAATAATTTTGAATTTTACTGTTAATTTTACAATTCTAATTTTACTATAATTACAATTTTATTATTTCTTTTTAGGACTGTCATTTCTGAATTGTGGCAAATTTTAGCAGAAGTAACAACAAAGTACATGGATGATTTTCAGGAAATTAATGAAGGAAATGCTCTAGAACATAATTTCAAGACTGTTGAATCAATAGTAATATTTCCATTTATGTATTTGTGTTCAGAAGACAACAAACAAGTTAGTTTCTTACGTTCTCCATTTTAATATATGTAGAAAGAATATTCGTTTATTATAATATTCATGATCTTTGTAATAGGCGCAAGAGTTAGTAAAAGTTTGGAAATCTTTATTTAAACAATTTGAAATGCGAGCAGATCTCGTTGAAACTGTCAAATCTAATGAAATTTTATTAAATATTTCAAACGTTATGCAGGGTTGCATAGTGAAAAATGAGAAGTCTTGTTGTCTTATTACAAAATGTTTAGATATTTTGTTAAGTACTGTCAACTTCAAATTTTTACTAGGTATGTAGACAATTGTGTTAATGAACAAGATCAGTAGCAATAAACAAATATGTTACAGTATAATTTTGTATCATTTTCAGCAAATGTAGAAGTTCCATCTGTTATACATCTTATTGTAGATCTTATAGCTTGTAGTTTATCTCATAAAAATGCTACAGCTTGTGAATCTGCTCTCAAAGCACTCTCTGCAGTGTTAATTACAATTTATGGACATACCCCTCAAAAAGTAATATCATACTTGCAAGTTTGTAAACCAACGGTCGAACAAATTCTTTCATCTAAACTGGAGGAAATAAGTAAAGAAGTATGTACTTAATATGGAATTTTAGTAAACTTAAATATTTAGTACTTAATATTGAATAGTTGATTTATAAAATATATTACTCTGAAATACTATAATATGCTATTTTCGATTTCTAGGTATTGAATACATGGGAGATTATTGTTAGTATTTTAAAAGGTCTTAATAAACTGGTTGATTATGATCTTATTTTATCATATAAAAAAGCCATTATTTTCGCTCTGAATCATAAAAACCTTGCCATACAAAATCAAACAGTATCATTGTTTGATATTATGAATGTGTTAAGTGGAAATGCTAAATCGATATTACAAGAGATAGAAATGGAAGCGGGCAAAGATAAAATATCACGTAAATCGGATGGTACAAAGAAGAGTGATCTTATCAAATCATCGAACCAAATTAAAATGGTTGGTAGCTTTTTGAATAGACGTTCTTGTAGTCCAAAATCTACAGTTAAAGAGAGTGGCAAAAATGATAAGAGAGTATTACCTGACTCTAATTCTGAGGTAAATATGTATTTAATTTTAATATACGTGTCCAACATTTGAGAGACATAATTTAATATTTAACATTTTTTTATTTTTAACGATTCATTTTAGGATTACGTTTTCATCAAGAGTGATTATAAATTTGACGTTAGTCGTTTGACTGAACATCAAAAAGAATCGTTAAAGCGAAGGAGGGAAGATATTCCAGCGCTCTATAACGATTTGTCGCAATCTTCTTCGCAAGACACTCAAAATTTGCAAGAGTGGTTCGACAAGAGAAACGATGCTTTAGCAACAACGGAAAAAGTATTTATGAAAAGAGATAATATTACAATAAAAAATATTATAAACGATGAGGCGAATAAAGAGAACAAAATCGATATGGAAGAATCAGAAATGATAGATAAAGCAGCTATTCAAAATGATGTGAAGTCAGTAGAACACGGACAAAATACAACGGTAGAATTTGTACAAAATTCGAAGGATAATGTGGAAAATGATGAAAATATCCCTATAACGGATGCAAAAGCTGTTGCAATAGAGACTTGTGACAATCTAGAAGTAAAAATGTCATCAAATTCTGTAACAGGTGACGCAAATCTTGCTTCACAAGAAGAGCGTTTGATAAATAAGGACAACGACCAAAGACTATCCCCATCCGTATTAGATAATAGCAAACGACGCAGTCGTCAGGGTACGATTGTAACTAGTACTTCTACGAATTTAGAAGAAACTAATAGTCAACCGGGACAATCTAACATGGTTACAGTTGGAGAAAGGAAATTAAGGAAAAAAATTAGTCCAAAGCCAATATTAGTTAATAAACAAAGACTTTCGATTGGTATGAAGAGTAAGTCTCCTGACATAGAGAAAAGAGGTATTAAACGAAAATCAAATTCGGATAGTGAAAATGAAAGTTCTCATTCACGTAGACGCAGTAAAACTAAAGCAATGATAATAAACTATGACACTCCTACTGACAGTGATAGCTCGAAATCTACAGAAAGTGAAAACCCGACAATGAATTTGGAAGGAATAATCGAGGATGGGAATCTCAGTCAACGAACTAGGAATGAAATATCTCGATTACGTATAAACATGGTATTTGATAGTCCTTTATCAAACAGTCGTCGATCCAAGGGTCACGAAGATAGTATTAAAGATGGTGTTGCTAGGAAACAGTCACCTGAATGTAAAGTACCCAAGTTGAAAGTTGCAGATTTAAAACCTGGTGATTCTCTAAAGAAAAATCAAAAAAGTAATGACAAAGAACTGAATAAAACTCAGTATGTAAGTAAAAGAGGTAGATTGATTAAAGCGAAGTTTAAAGTGGAAAAAAACGGTGAACTTACTAAAGTTGAAGATACAAAAAAATCTTCACAAAACAAAACGAAAGAGTTAGGAGAAGAGAAGAAACTGGGAGAGGAAAGCAAAGAGGATCGTAGTGTACAGATAGATGTTTCAAGGATTACAGTAGACGGTATTAATGGTAATGGGGGTGATAATGGAAATTTGTATGATGTTAATCAAGTCAATAAGGCTAAAGTTGTAGAATCTAAGGATGATGAATCTAATACTGAAGTAGAAAATAAAGATGTTGATTACTATGAAAATGTTGACATAATAGAAAATTCACAGGAATTATCTGAAATACAAAGGAAATGTAATGAAAAGCAATGTTTTATTAAAATTAATAAAATAGGTGACCCATGTAACGCAGTGAAACTTCCTAGCAGTACAAGCGATAATGAAATAGCGACAGATATTGTTTCGAATAATTGTGATAATGACAATAACGAAGTTCCTAAGGTTAATGTTAAGGAATCTGAGGAAAACATGGAAGTTGATTCCAATAAACCAAAGACATCGATTTCGGTTGCTGATGGTAATCTGTATGATAATGAAAAATATGCTGTAGTTGAGGTTCAAAAAATGAACGAGGGATCGTCATCTAAATATGTCCTTGGGTTTTCCTCTCCAAAAAGTAATACAAAGCGGCAATTAAAATTTAAAACTTATTCAGCACTAGGTCGTGCGGCGCATATGTTAGGATTAGTAACGAAACAAGCAAAATTAGAATCTGAATGTAATCCTGTAACTGTAGATGACGAAGCTGCAATAAAAAAAGGAAAGCCTAAAGATATAGAGAGCGAGACAGGTCTTGGAAAAAAGGAGAAAGGTTCTGCGTTTAAAGATGTTGAAAAAGTAACAGCAACGTGTAGTAGTCGACAAGAGAAAATCTTTAATAATATGAGGACATCTGACTATGGTCCATTACCTTCGATCAAATCATTCTCCAATTTGAAGAATGACGGTGAAAAAGTTTTCCTGAAGACGGACAAAATGGATCTTGCACCTGTTCAAGCTGATGTTCAAGTTGAAAAAGTGAATGAAGAATCTGTAAATGAAACAGAGGAATTGCCAATTTTAGAATGGTCAAGTGCAAATCCACCTTCCTTAACTGCATCTCCCAGTGTTAGTATTCTTAAACGACAACGGCAGTCTCTACCAGAGCCAGATCCAGAATGTACAACTCCTAACAAGGTACTTCTTTTTAAATATTTCATTAATATGCCTTTGTATGATATGGCAAATAGTATAAATAGTAAAGTGATATAATAAACTAGAATTCTGACTGGTACAAATACATATAAATTTTTCTTTTGCTGTACGTTATGAATTTCGTGTTTTGCAAATGAGTAATTTTTATAATTAAATTGTATATATTTATATATTAATTGTATATTTTTTGTACTTAAAGTAAAAATTGAATATGCGAAAGTTGAATAATGCCATTTCAATAGGGCCTTGAATATCTACAAAAATTATATCCTAATGATGACAAATATTTAAAAATCAGGAACCGGGTCTAATTAAACGTATTTGTTGCTGTTTAAAATGATATTTTATTTTAAATCATAGAATCTCTGTGAAAATAATAAACTACAAAATTTAATAGAATTTAATAGAATTTGCTGAGAGAAGTGACTTTAAAGGGAGCTTGCATTATTTGTTCTGATTTGCAAATTGGCGTAAATAGTTGATTCAATTAAACAAGACTACGTATTTTTATATGAAATACAGATTAATTGTCGATCTCATTTAGCTTGTGATTCGATTCGCTTCTGTCTACCCTATGTAATCTATGATTAAAAATGCAAAAACATGTGTTAATCCTATTAGATACTTTGAGTCCTTTTCAACTCAAACACCTTTTCATGTTTTTAACACTACAATATTTGTTTATCTTTTTGTATAACCATTTTTCATTTTTTAAGGATATCTTAAACAATTTTTAAGGATTTTTAAGTATTCTATTTTAGAAAAATGCAAGGAATATTATTGGTGTACAGATTTTTCTTTTGTTATTATTATTTTAAATGTACACTTAAATTGTGGGGATTGTAGTATTGCTTTCCAGATAAACTTTTGAAAGTATGTATTTCTAAATTAGTTTTTTACGTTGAAATGAGTAATATAAAAATTGATTGTATAATTAAGATTCGTTTTCATTTTGAAATCAATTTTTCGTTAGGTTAAAGTTTATATAAATGGGGTAAAATTGATTCAAATGTTGAAAACCATTCAACTGGAGTTTTCATTAGAATTATGTTTCTTTTAAGTTCCATTGTTTAATCCTTTCTGTGCTATGGACGCGTGTAAATTTCTATTAATATCTAAACATATTGAGGTGTCATCTTTAATGAAAGAGTTTTTCTCTAGTTAATATTTACGATTAATTAATTATTACAGATTAATTCAACAATTCAATTCAATTGATTATTAATTAATTCAACTGATGGGGTAAAGAGTATTATACTTATTATATACTTGTGATTATCTAGAAAAATCAGTGATAGTTGTTTTCCCAATATTTCTTTGCACTGGAACACCATGATCGTAATTACCTAAAAAAATCAGTGAAATTGTTTTTCTAAAATTTTATCGTGCTCTAATACACCATAGACGGTAAACTTTTTAACTTTGAAAGAGATAATATCGAACGAACTATTAACGTGAGATATTAGCAATATTAAAGCATTTTATTATTATTAAATTATACTAATTTATACAGTACTGCCAAGTAGCATGTGTACGAGCAGCATGAGGGCGGGTGTGTTAACATATTTGTATGTACTTTTCCATTTTGATATATTTAGTGAATTATATCAAATATATATAATAAAATCTAAATATATATATTTAATATATTTAGTGAACAATCGTATTTAGGTATAAGGTAAGAGTAGAATGAAAATTTAATGGGTCTTTAAGTTTTATGACATTATCTAATTAAACTGCTAGAAAATTGTTTTTTAAATAAATAAATTTCTACTAATATCTTTATTTTCAGTAAATTATATTTTCTTGCGAGATAATAAAATATTCACAAGTTCATTAAATTGTAAATACTATGTATTTTGATAATTTTAATGGTCGCAGCAGCAAGTATTTATCAATATTTCTTATACATTTAAGTTGAATGACATTTTTCACATATCTGAGACTCCAAATTAAGTGACCTCGAACGACCAGATTAACTGCAAAAATATATAATATATATAAAATTTTTGTAATGAAGTTTGTATAAAGCTTATGCAGTTTCTATAAATACAACTGTGCACCTAAATAAATAGTGTAATTATAACTGTATTAAAATATTCATTAATACAATTGTATTCATGAACACAGTTGTATTAATATATTCGTTAATACAGTTGTAAGAATTTATAAATATTGTAATTTATTCAGTCTCGTTGATGCCATTTTATATTTTTTAACAGAAGTAAGCTAGAAATATGATACTGTATGTTTTCATTTGCTTGCGGCTTATTTCCAATCTCCGCCCTGTCGCACACAGAAAATAAAATTGGCGATTGTTAGTTATTAAAAGGAGGATATTAAAACTAGGCGATTTTTGACCGACCTCTGGAACAAAAAATGTAAATTCCATTATTCCGGGAAACATCGGGAAAGTCATGAAAAATGTAGTTGGAGCAGCTCCTAATATAGAACACTACAATATTTCATAAAATAAGTAGTTCGATGTGTCAGTTATCATGGGAACACTTCATTAGTAATAGAAAGCAATCATATTAATATTTGAACATCAATTAAAAATTTGTCATTGAATGCGAAGCATTATCATGTTTGGTAGTACATTAAATAAATTTTCTAAAAGACGAGTTAAATAGTTAAATTTTTTAATGTAGATAAGCTATAAAATGTTATTTTTTCATAATTTATCATTGAACATGTTTGTTTTTCACTATTCAAAGGAAATTTACTGCAAATTAATTTTTTTCTTAGAGTAGCATTATTTCTCTATCAGAAAACACGAGTTGTTGATGTTACATATTATTATGGTATATTTTTCTTTTATGGTGTCGATTACAAAAATGATAATAACGGAAAAAGCGTGTCCAATGCATTTGAAACACAAGTATTATTATTTACTCGCGCGAAAGACTGAAAATACAAAAGACCAGATTTCTTTCGTTGGATCATGTTCGCGTATAATTTATAAGCATCTATATTTTGAGCTGTCAACAAAAGAATGTTAATTGTAATACATTGCATTTTATTATAGAGAAAACGAGTAAGTTTTGCGGATCCTCCAGTTTCAAAAGAAATGGGATACGAAATTGCGACTTCCGATTCTCCGCACAAACTTAATAAATTCGTTTCACGTGGCTTGTTGGGTCGTAAGGACTCACCATTCAGGATGAAGCAGATCAAGCCGAGATTGATACACATTGATTCCGAGAAGATGGACTGTGAGGAAGAAACAGACGCAGCGAGTACATCAGAAGTAGATCAACAATGCGAAAGAGAAAACGAATTGTTAACGAAAATAGCTGAAGAACTAGAGTATTCAGGGAACTTCGCAATGGACACCGATAGCTCACAAATTTCGCCTGATAGTGAGAAGAATGACTCACCGGACGCAAGTCCTGTGGAAGATAACGCTCGTAACAAAATTAATATCGATAATTTAAGCACTGAGCTTGAAATCACGCAAAATACTACTTTCTCTAGACACACAGAAAATAAGGACAGTATGACGGACGCTGTTAAGGAACCTGCTGTTAACACGGAAAATGATAAATGCAACGTAAGTGATACCAACGATGACATATTCAATGAGATGGATGCAAAGCGTGACAATGCGAACGCAATAAATAATGTCAGTGCCGAGATAGACGACGGACACAATGTTCCTTCCGTTCAAAACAACGCAGAGAATTCTCTGAAATATAATATTGCGAATGATTCGGTCATACCGAATATATTTAAAGACCATTCGAATTCTGAAAATTTGGAGGACACGATGGACGTAGCGAATCTCTCTAGCTTGAATTCCACGGCGAGCTCGGAGGAAATTTTCTGTGGAAGGTTGATACGAACTAGTACACAAGCAGTGGACACAACAGGGGAGCAAGATACTTTGCCTGTCACGGACTCGGTACTTGGAACTTTACCGTTGAGTCATGACAGTCAGAACACAAGCGAATTCGACGCAGAAATCCCTCATCCGGAGCTCTTAGATTCTACGCATCCCATACACCCGACGTTGATCTCCTGTTCAGAACCTATCCAGTCTGTTATCGAGAAATTAACGAACCCTCTATGGGTATCGCATTTGTCCACGTACCTCTCGAGTATCAACATCGAAACTGTCGGTAACCTAGCGCGGCTATCCGAGCGCGAAGTGAACAGAATTCCCGTGAAAGGTAACTCGAAAGTTGATTTTGTGAAGAGTGTCCTAAAATCCTTTGAGAAAACGTATAACATGAAGCAAGCGGGCAATGCAACGGAACGCTTGAACGATCCTTCGACCAGCGAACCACGTCTTAATGTAAATACGAATGTACCTGTATCCGAAAAGGAAGTAATGACTGAAGGCCAAGCGTTGAGAGCTTCTGAAGTGACTCCGAATGAAATTAGGTATGGAACTGACGATTCGAATATGAACGTTGACAAAATGTCGGAATTGTCCAAAATTGCGACGGAGATTGGTTTACATAAAACTTCGAACCAACATGCATTGAAGGTTTCATCGTTGACCCCACAACTGGGAGCTAAAACCAAATCATCAACCGTTACGTACGTTAGAAATGTTATCTTACCCTTTACTCTGTGCATTCTGTAGTTGAGGTTGATTTACTTAACATTGTTTATTTATTGTAATACGGTTCAGGGAATCCCGCTTTGATACGATTGTTCTAGTTGCAAGATTATTTTAACCCTTGTAGTACGGACGTTTTTGGCGATTTTATGGGTGGTGATGCTTGGGACTATTCAAATATTTATTTACTAATTTCTTTTTATATGTATTTTCAGAACAACTTCTAGATAAATGAGTAGATATTCCTATTATATGTAATATAGTTAACCGGTAATTTAAGTTAATTATAAGAAGGTGGAAAGTTAAATGTAATTTTTGAAAATGGTGTAGCTTAATAAGGGGATGGTAAAGTATCTTCAAACCAAATCGACTTTCTTACATACCTTTACGTTTGATATTTTATGTTGTGTATGATAAAAAGTTATGGAAAAAATCATAATTATTCTAGGTGTGAATGTGCATTTCTGGAAATTTTTTCAGAACTTTGGACTGCAAAATTGATTTGTAAAAAATTTACGAACATTATAAATGCTGATTCTTTATTTAAATTATCAGAGAATAAATTATCAAAGTAAATTATTAGAAAAATATGAAAAAATAAAGTATTAATAGTCGTAATAAGATAGTAATCCCATGAAAATATAAAAGTGGTACTCTGATTTGGTTTGGAGGCCCTCTTATTCGGCTATACCCTTTGAATTAAAGTAGACCCAAGCACCGCCGTTTAGTGATTAACACTAATGTAAATCGTCTAATGATTAACACTAATGTAAATCGTTCAAGTCCATAATAGTGGATTGTTTTGAAATTCATGGAAAAGGTTGGCAGCTAATAGATAATGAAATTATACTTTTGTTTAGACAAATGACGAGCATACCAGTATCATCTATATTAGATATTGTACTTCCATCTCAAGCTGATGGAGGAATCTCTTCCATCTCGGAAGCAATTTCTGCTTCACACATGTCAAAAACTATTGATGCTTGCACTACCCGTGACTCTATTCATTTACCGCAATCTGTAACACCTAAGGTTACCAAATCCACCGAAGTGCAAACGGCTTTGGAAGATCTTCTGGATGAAATCGATGTTAATTTGGTATTGGAAAGCGCAGTTAGAAGATGTACACCAGAGAAAATTCTTATGCAATATAAGGTAAATACTTCATTTCATTTTTAATAGGAAGTTGAAGACGATATATCAAAGCAAATCTTAAAATGCCAATAACTAAAATTGGGAAAAGGTGCATGCAGCTGTCACGATAATATTAGGGCAAACGTTTGAGTCTGCTATTCAACAAATTTAAGTTTGAATCCCGGTATGGAAGCTCTACTTCTTCTACCTCTATTGCTGTCTATGTTACACCTAATTCAATTTTATAATTGTAATTATATTTACTTAATAATATGACGTAAAGTAGACTGTCTTATTCAAAAGCCATAATTCGTTTTTCAGAACATATGATGAATTCACACAGATAAATACTTGTTTACAGTTATCTAATTGCAATTGAATAGTTCTAAATTGTCTAAATCATTCCCATCAGATCGAAGATATAGAATTACATTCTGGTAGTTGTGATATCTAGCTTAGCCTGTGCTCACCACACACCAATTTATTTGTCTATTTAAAACAGAATCCCAGATTTAACCATTTCAGTCTCAAAATATTATTTCACAAACGAAGATTAATGTCCATGTTTAACTGAATTATAAAATCTAATCACTTTGAAGAAAATTTGTTTAGTTTAAATAAAAATTGAATTTTATGAGATCCATGTATGTCAATATTCTAGAGTGCTACTTTTTAAGCTGCTTTTTAATGTATGGATTTCACTTAAGTAAGGGATAAAAACAGATGAAAAATGTCAGATTATGGCGTTACATGTTTTGTAACACGTGAGAAAAAATTTCAGAATGGTTTCAGCATATTTAAATAATATGCCTTACTTGACTTTATCCTTAATTCACAATGAGTTTGAATGTTTTCTCATTTTATTTGCTTCTGAACATTCATTTGTTTGCTGTTAAAGTTTTTAAGTGATTGGAATAGTGTTTGCATCTTCGTTTTGAAGATTTTTTAAAGGTGTTTTTAAGTGTTTGAGATTCGTTAAGGATATGGAGCTGAAACGAAAGAATTTTTGCATCAATTTCAAGACAGCAGTGAATTCGGCAACTGTTGCGGTGAGACAACTTAGAAGAAGACTTAACGATAGAAAAATATTTTTCAATTCTGATTTCAAAGAAAGTAGGATACTCAAGTCGACAAGTGATCATAGAGCTACAAAAGTAGTTGAAGCCCTGATAAAGATTTAAAAATCTGTAGTGCAATATACTATTACGAACTTCATCAATAGGGACACCTACAGCAACGACTAGATGGACTCAAAAAATCTACAGGAGTTGAAGATGAATATATTCAAACTGTCAGAAAATGGCACAGACAAATGACAACTCAAGAAATTGCATTAGAAATAAACAACAGTAGAAAAGATCTTGTCAATGTGACAATATTGAAAAGATAATTATTAGAAGATAGACTACGCTAGTGTGTAGCAATTAAAAAAGCTCTATTACCATTCCAAAACAAAGTGAAACTTCGTTAGCATTCACAGCGAAGGCTTTATTTAACAAGATATCGAGAGAATCGGACATCTGACTGAAAAAGTGTTGTGAACTGACGAATCGAAATTTATAGTTTCCTGAAAAAAAACATTATTAATTCAGTGTATTATGTTAACAGTGAAATATGAAGAATGTTCTGTGTTTACTTAGGGATGTTTTGGAGCAAAGTGGATGGTTTAGTGAAAGAATTCCGCCAGGAAAGAAATTTGTAGATGATAAGTTAATCTTTATGCAGGATAACAATTTTAAACACCGCAGAAGTTTGTGAAAATTATTTAAATAGATTGAAAAGTAAAAGTGAAGTGTCCAATATCAAACAAATGATAGTAGACATGTTTACGAAATGCTTGGAACAAGATTCAGGAAGAAACATTGGGAAAGTTTGTTGTTAGATTAGTTCGAATTGTTAACTCCGTTACTGTTCAGCGATGTGGGTGTGTAAACGAAAGGTTTTAAACATTTCTTCGAATCATTCATTTTCTTTTTTTAGGAAACTGGCCGTCTTCAATTAACAGAAACACTCTGTATACATTGGGTTGATATATAAATATATAAATATTTAATTTTAATTTAATATATAAATATCAGTATCAGTCAATAAACATAAAATACTCGTTTTACTTAATTAATCAAAATCTTTTATTAAACAAATGTACCTTTGTATATGTAGGTTTTCTAAAATTTATGTCGGTTAATTAATATTGACCGATCTGATCCGATTTCAATGAATTTTTGTTGATTAAAAAAATTAAAAAAGTGAAGTTAGTAAAATGTTTGGAAGATCACTTTCCACACAGTAATAAATAAACTGGTTAAGGGGATACTTGAATTTGTAGGAATTTTTAGGAGTAATCAGTAGGATCTAATGATGAGTAAGCATTCAAAAATTGGGGACTTGGGTTTCATTCAATTTAAGATATGATCGCAACAACCCGTAATGCAGTTGTACAAAAAAAGGCACAGAAAAGTAGCGAAACCATATGTTTAGGTACCTTAAGATTAGTATTACTTCCACTTTGATAAACGATTTTCTGTTTTTATAGAACAAAATGAGACATGTGCCACAATCGGAACTGGAAAGAGAGACCATAAGAATGCTTGGCAGTGAGAATAGGCCCAACTGCAATGAGACAACACTAAAATTCGCTTGCCGTTCCTGTGGAATCAACAAAGTGTTGTTGCGGCTCCCTGATATTTTTTGTGCTGAGAAGCAATTTTTCGTTAAAGTGTTGAACGCTTATCGGCAAAAGATAAAGACCAGCGATTGCATGAACATCCTTGATTTCACTGAAGTCAAGGACGCCGTTTGCGAGAAATGTACGTCCTCAGAGTTAGCTGATATGTTGTCGAAAAAGCTGAAAGCAGAGGAACAAGAAGGAATCAAAAAGCCCATGACCGAATTGTCCAGCTTGGATGCCATGTTGAAACGGTTGCCAATGGACGTGATCATTAGCCACACAGTGGCGAATGATGAGCTGATCCCGTCTCGCCTTGTGTTGGACATAGCTCTGCAGAACAACAGCCCCAGCGACATAGCGCAAGCTTTGGAATCTCAGTCACCTGTCGTAATTAAAAATGTTTTCGACAAATTGTGGTCCGACCAGTTTGCTGTGACGCACATTGGCGAGAGTAACGGCTCTGACGAGGGACTGCTAAAAATTTTCAAAGCCGTTTGTTCGAAACTGAGCAAGAAAGATCTGCTGGAAGCATTTTATGAATGTATGAAGGACAAGGTAACTGTAAACGATGAGAGAAACTAAAGATTATGTGTTATGTCAGATCGCTTTGTGGTCTACATGTGTTTTCGATGTTCATTACCAATATTGACTATAAACATGTTCAGTTTCTTTTTCTCGATAATATCCACATTACTGGCATATATTATATATTCTTGCAGTTATTGAACTATATTTCACGGATAGCTCTTTATAAAAATGGTATTGCATCGTAGCTTAGAATTTCATTACAGAATTTAATTAGAATACTGTGTGCTTTAAGAGAAACAGAAACAGTTCTTTCTTTTTTTATTATAATAATTTCACGTTTTCACGCGCAAGTTGAACGTACATTAAACATTATCAAGAATAATTGAAATGAGAGTATATTAACCAGAACAATTGTTATATTTACTTTTTTATAAATGTTTATTACTAAAGGAAGCATCACGTTTCATTAAAAAACTATAGTGTATCAGCATCTTCATTTTGCCATTAATTTTTTCAGATTTTTTTTCCAAATTTAATATAAAATAAACTCGAAATATTGTTTAAAGTAACTTTGTTATTAATATTGTGTAACATGAATTTAAAAGATCCAGCAGAGTTGTAACGAAACGGTCAACATTCTGAAAGTATTAATAAATTTTACAGACATGTTACTTCTGTTTCTTTTGAAAAAAGGATTAGTCATGTTAAGTGTTAATTAAGTTACTGTAGAAGTTTTTTCCTTTTCTAGTAAAAATTCCAAAGATTTCACTAAATTAAAAATTAATGAATTGAGAGACCATTAAATGATATCACGTACTACGTTTTTACTTGTAATCCATTGATTGGCATGTAGTACTTAAATTTTTCTATCCAATTGGTTTTCATAATATTTAAGAGTAGACTATTGTATATAATACACAGCTATACTATATATAATAATACTTGATGGAAAATACTAATAATTAGCTTGTTCTGTATTAGTTATATTATTAATCAAGTATGGCAGATACTATACATGATACAGGAACGGTGTAAATGCTAATTATTGATTTTCTCGATTTTTTCTTTTTAATTTATGTTTTTGTGTTTATGGAATCTGAACTTTAGTATGAACCGTGTAATATCCAAAATTAAGTTAAGAAATCATTTTCAAAGTCATTTTCCGCGCAATTTTCGTATATTGATTATTTCGCAGAAACTGGTATCCCATTTGACACATAATAAATCTGAAGTGCCGAGAAATTTTACATTGCGTAGAATAAAAATATTTCATATATTTTTCATGATATGCTTGTAACTTGATGTTGAAATTTCTACAGAATTAAGATAAATAAAATAATATGAC